TCGCGTTGCCAGAGAACATGCGCGCGCGCGCGCTCATTTGGTCGCGCACAGGGACGACGCCTCCAATCGCTGGCATCGTCTCCAAATGTTTGAGCCAATAAGGAACTAAGAGGCAGTCTGTTCGCTGAGTTCCGTATGTCTACGTTTCTATTGGTTGTTTTAAAATTCATTAGTATCCTGGGGGGCCAATGGGCTTTACGAAGTTGGCGCTGCTGCTGTGAATTAACAAATGAACAGTTCGAATTTCTCATACAGCGGAAGAGGCATGAAAATATTGACTGTCCAAAGATAAATATGCACGTGTCTTGACTGCTCGTTTGTCACATGACATTTATTTATCAGGTTTATAATCCCGTACTCTCGGCGATACACACAATAGGCAAGAATACTAAATACAACACAAAATTCTGATCCAATACAATTCTGACGCGTCACAGTCCCAAAAGCCCTCCGGAAAAACTATCTTAAGGACAAACGGATATGGTTTCTTAGCCGTATTAAATAAATAAACAATCCATTTTGAATCTACGCAATCTATTTTCAATTCTTTAAACAGGAACCGCTGTATAGTATATAGTAACGTGTCATTAGGAGTTGGGGGTACGTCATGGGAATTGTTAACTTTTAATAAATAAAAATCACCAATCCGCTGCAAAAAAAAAGCCACATTGGAAACAATTTACATCCTGCGACGATAACTTTAATGTTAAATAACAGTCTACCTATTCTTTGGGAAAGGCTCGATATAGTCAAAATTGCCAATCCAATCTAAGCTTCTGGCTGACTGCGATCAACCATAAAAGTAGTAGACAAAATGCTAGAATATGCTATTTATTAGTGTTGCCATGGTTATTCTGAGATTCTTACCCAACGATTAAAAATAATTAGAAAGTTGAATTGCTCCTGGGCATTTTACGAAAATTACCCAACTGGGTCCCCTTTAATGGAATGCAACGATCCCACAGAATACTGTAGTAACGTCTATACAAAATACATGTTCCACAGATATTTTAAAAATCCCTTCAGACTACGTAAATCCTCTGTGCTCGGCTAAAGTTTCTTTCCAATCTCCAATCCCAACCAAAGTAACTTTTAGAAGTGAGAGAACAATTTCCATGGCAGACACCTGGCAACGCCTCTCTCTTGTGGAGAGGATAGCGCGCAATCCTGTTCCACTCTACTTAGAAAGTAGATCACCTTCGGGGAAGGAGGTAAACCATTGCAGGCTGAAGCCCTGTCGCCTGATCTAAATGGCTTCAAGCAGCATCCGAAAGAGAAGCTGCTTTCGCACGAAGTGGCTCCTTCCAGCTGACCGGCGTTGGGCGGGACCCTATGCGGAAGCGGTAGTCTTTGCCTTTTGTAACGAAGCGAAATCTTTTGTCCGAGTTGACTCCTCCGTGGAGAATAAAGCTCCGTTGAGGCCGTGATCCGGAGTCCGGGCGAGCTGGAGCCATGGTGCAGGTCTACAACTTGCACCCGTTCGGGTCTCAGCAAGTCGTTCCTCTGAAGCAGGAACCAGCGCTCTTCTGCTGCGGGGGCGACGTACTCCTGGTGGCCTGCGGCTCCGGCGCCAGCAAGGTGGAAGTGTTTGGGGAACTCTGCCAGCCGCTTGGCTCCTTCAGTACCTTGGGCCGAGTGCTGTCCATGGCATACGGCGAAGTGGGTAAGCGCAAACCTGGCTGGACATCCAGAACCGAGTCGAACGGAAGGAAAGCAGTTCACTAAATTCGCTGCCTTTTCGAAAGACCAAACATTCCCTTCCTAAACGAAGAATGGGCACTCATGCACCTGGCGAAGCCAGGCTTTTTGTCTTGATGGCACATATACAATTTTTTTTGGGGGGGGGGGATTTGTGACCGTTTTGGCCTAGTGGGCTCTTATCAAATGATTGCTCGGGACCCTTGATCCTTTATGAAATCATGCCAGGAAAGCACCCTTTAGAAGTTAGCTGATAATCAGGTGACATTTATTTTATTTTATTTATTTGATTTGTCAATAGATTACAAGATAATAGGTATAAGTATAAACATGAGTAAGAGTACAGGAAATAGGTACGAATAAATGGGGACAATAGGACAGGGATGGTAGGCACAGACCTCTTAGAAATGGGGTGAGGTCAATAGTGGATAGTTTGAGGTTAAAGGAGTGGGGGTTACGGGATGTAACATATACATTTACTTATTTAATTTATTTATTTATTAGATTTGTATTGCTGCCTATTTGCCATGGTGACTCATTATTATTTAATAAATAATAAACCTTTATACTCTTTCCAGTATGTTAATTACCCCCCTTGTTCCCCTTCTACCTTGATACTTTTTCAGGAAAGGTAGAGGCACTTATGAACAAAGTTTCTGGGGCTCATTATGAGTTCAGAGACAGGCTTGGAAACGAAGATGGTGCTAGATTAGAGGCTAGAATTTTGCTTTGCCCTGTGCTGGTTTTCTATTGAATTAAATCAGCTAGAGAGGGAGGCCTGTTATAAGTACTGGCTTATTAGTGTTCCCATGCAGCATATTGAGGATCCCCAAATGTAAGCTTGTAAATTATGCCTTCAAAAAGCAATTATAAGGTTTGCACAACATCAAACCTAATGATCAGTGCTTAGTTTGGAGGCAACCTCATACTATAATCCTAAGTTTATCTTTCCAGCAACTCTGAGTTTCATAGTTGAGCCAAGACTTTGCCTAAGAATGCTGTTCCTCCTTATTCTATAGTCAATATTATCAGCATCGCTGTTAACAAACTACTAGGATTTCCCTATTACCTGTTCTTAACAGACATATAAAACAGTCTTCCCCAGTCTGTGATGTTACACAATCCCCATGTAGTAAATCAGGGTATTGTGGCTAATTATGAGAAATACAAAGTCTGATGGCACTGTTATGCAATTAGCACGGTCTTCTGGGGGAATTTCCAGCTAATTCAAAAACTTAGTTCACATTATAGTTTAATTATGCACACTCCTACGTTTCATTATGGCATTTATATTTTTGGCCATGTTTTTTTTCAAAATTTATGTTTTTCAGGAGATTATCTGGCCACTATTGAGGAGACACACAGCACCCTCTTCCTACGAGTTTATGTTAACTGGAGATGCATGTCCTCTGGCAGCTCACGTGTTTGTGTGCGGATGCAAGGTCATAACCCAGAAGCTTCCTATACCGAGATGTCTAAAGAACAAATGACAATCATAGAAATTCCTCTTTCTGATCCTCCCACATGTTTCTCCTGTTGCCCTTTATCAGGAGACCTACTGGTTGGCTGCAAGGATAAGTTGGTATTATTCCACTTGAAGCATTTATTTGTGAGTGAGGATGTAAAAGTGCTTGACTTCGAACGTTCCTTAATTTTGCACATGGAGAAGATCACCCCAACAGAAGTTGCATTTTGTGCAGGGTATGTTGCTGTCACAGCAGAACTGGAAGTCCTTGTCTTCAAACTACTAACTGGGGAGAAAGTAACTTTGGCTGGTAATAGCAATATCTGTGAATCTGTAGAGCCTGAAATACCCATTAATGAAGGTCAGTATGATATTTAATATACCCAGATCAAGACTGCTTCCCAAGAACAAAAGTAGCATGCAATTGGTCCTCATTCAACAATCATTCTAAGTGCAAAATGAGGGGAATTTACTACCAGTCCTTATAGTTGTGGCCTTGCAGCATTCCTGTAATCACATTTGCAATTTGGATGCCTGGCAACAAGCTTACAATTGTAACATGGCATTCCACATTCATTGCCAGCTTCCAACTAGTAAAATCAATGGAGAAGCTGGTAGGAGGTTTCAAATGGCAATTGCGTGACCATGGGATGCTGCAATCATGTGAGATTCACCTAATAACAACTGGGATTGCCAATACAAGTCAGAGTGGGGCATGTGGTATTGTGCTTTATGAAGATTCTCAGTTATCCAGAGATGCTTTTTCAAGAGGCAACTGGACTTGTTTTTCTTTGAAGACATTTTATATTCATTTTGCTTCTTATCCAAGAAGCTTCTTCAGCTTTGATTGGATGGTGGGGAATGGAAGGATTTATATTCTTTGCAGACAGCTGGTCATTTGTGTTCTTATAGAGAGTTGTTAACTTCTCTTGGAGGTTTATCTGTGTCCTCCAGGAAGGTCACCTGAATAGTGCAAATGGGCATGGAGCCTTATTGGAACTACTGAAAGGACTGTGTTGTAGATTGGAGATAGATGTTGTCATATCTCTCCCCCTCTGTTGAGAGAGGGCTGTTCAATTTTGACATACACTGCCTCTTTGACTCTTCTTTCAAACCAGCTGTTCTTTGTGTCCAAAATGTGGACTTTGCTGTCTTCAAGAGTGGCCCTTGTCTTTTAAATGTAGATGGGCTACTGAATCTTGTCCTGATGGGTATGTTTTCCTATGTTGTTGTTGAAGTGGTTGTTTTGTTCCCCAATGTACAGATCTGCACATGTCTCACTGCATATGCCACATTGCATAGCTTGTGTCAGGGTATTTTTCATTGGGTGGACAAACTTCTGCCTTAGTGTATTCTTGGGTTTAAAGTGTCTATGTATATTATATTGGCTGAAGATCCTCCTTGGCTTTTCAGTGATTTGTTTTATGACTGCACTGCTTAGTGACAGCTCCCAGTCCCAATTACTGTTGGTAAGTGAAGACCACCTGTATAAGGTTAGACTGGTAATGTTTCTTCTATTAATTTCTAGTTGTCTTAAGAGTTGACATTGTATACTGACATTCTTTTTCACTTACTAAAGGTATAACAGAGGAAGTTGATCAAACTCAATCAGAATCAGATGGGTTTGTTTTCTGTCAGCAGCCTGTGGAACTTCTTGGAGAAGAAAGTAGCAAGTGTGAGATATCTGTTATTTTGGAGTCAATTAGCTTAACTGGTCAAGATTTAAATATCCAAGTGCAATATGTCTTGTACAGGTAATAAAATGTCATTTATCATTAATAAATAGATTTTGTAGATATGTATTATGCATACAATACACAGAATATTAACAGTTCCTCTCGGAAATGCAAGCTTTCACTTTGCCCTAGAAGTAGCCAGACCAAAGCAACAAATACCATCATCTAATATTACCGGTTGCCTTGATCCACATACCTGGGTTATCAATTTGTCAAGCAAATCTTAGAAACCTGGTTCATATAACATGCTCGCTGCAAAGTATATTTACAGATTATAATAAGCTAAAATTAATATCCTGTGGATATTCACCTCTAGTTTCTACAGACTATGATGAAATTACAGCTTATGTAATTATATCAGCAGCTTACATAAAATATACAACAAAACTTCCATGGTTTAATTAAAATAAAAGAGAGGGGCCTTCCAAAACAGCATAACCAAATTTTCTTTTTCCAAGCTATGGATAAATAGGCAATGTTAAAATCATCTGTCTATATTTGTCTCTTTTTTCAGCTGTTAGGGCAGAGTCCACATGTATATAGTTTTCCCCCTAGTGATAATAAAACAGCAAGCATTTCCTAAAAACTAGTTATCTTGCTGACATGATTTCCTCTCTGATACGTAAGGTTGTTCAAACTTTGAAAATGTAGTATTTTCCTCTTCCGGTTTGAGTTTCTTCAGCGATAGATTGAAATCTGCGATTGTGTGCGGTTTCGATCTGTGCTCACCGCTGGAGCGCCCCGATCCTTTGGATTCAGGGCTGTAGCCACCCCGTAGAGGTGATGAAGAGGAGGGAGATTGCTAGTCGAGTGGAGGGGAGCCATATCTCTCCTCCTTGGCTGGTCTAAACTCCCCGAAGAAATGGCCACCTCAAAGAAGAACCCGACTGGATAAGATTGGGCAGGAAGAAGACAAAGACGAAAGCAGGACAGACCGGGCTAAACAACAGAGAACATCTAAGCAAGGTACCCTGAATCTAAAAGTACTTAGAGGGATACTTTTGAAAGAAGACTTTGAAGCAGCGAAGGAGAGAGAAAAGGAGGTTAAAAACCCTTTTTTTAAACCTTTATATTGACAATTACAAATGATATGGAAAGAAATCTATATTAATTTACTTTGACACTAATAGGCAACTTTAAGCTGAAATTTAAGTGTCAAAAGAAAAATAAAGATTTTTTCCTTGGTCATTTTAAAGCCCTACAAAAGGAGAAGAGTGGAGGCAAAAGGGTGGAACTTGGAATAATGGAAAAATGGAGTGCCACCTGGAAAAATAAAGAGGATTAACAGTGAAACTTTGAAAAGACTCCTGAGAATACATTGTAACTGAAACCTTATTAAAAGATACTGTTACCCACGGAAAGGAAAAGTAAAGGAAAGAAACAAGAAGGAACAGTCTGGGATCATTTGGTGATATAAAAAAAAGTCTTTAGCATTGGTCTTTTCTTTCTTCTTCTGTTTTTACTTAAAGTCAACTGGGTGGTTGTTCAAAAGTATTTAAAATGGCGTTACTCCTGGAGGAATTGAAGATGAGTCTTAAAAAACAGAAAGAAGATGCAGAAAGGGGAGGATGATCCTTTGGCTTCGTATTTGAATTTCTTGAAATGGAGATCCTGAACTATGACAAGCAAAAGGAAAAGCTTCAAGAGCAAGAAGAAGGGCGGGACAAAGAAGAAGCCATTTTCAATGATCAAATAATTCAAAGTGTGGTAATAAGGGGGAAAGGGGGGAAAGGAGTTAAAAGTTTGAGATTAAAGGAAACAGCCAAAAAGAAAAATAGTCTGGAAAGGAAGTATAACAGCAAGGAGAAGCAGAAAAGAAAACCACAGAAGGTAAAATTAGAGAGAGAAGGGTATAAAAAAAGGGATGAGAAAAAGAGGGGAAGATAGAAAGGGAAAGAACTTATGAGGGACAAAAGCAGGAAATAAAGAAAAAGGATTAAAGGTATTTGCTCAGCTAGAAAACACAGAGAATGGCTAAATTAAGTTAAAAGTGAGGATTCTGCAAAGGTACAAAAGATAGTGGTGTGACAGTAGAATACTGTAATGAGTTAGAAATGAAATAAGTAAATCTATGAGATAAAACTATTGTTATGTAATGGTACGTTTATAATTAATGCAATAATAAAGAAGAGAGGGAAACGTAATTGTTTCTAAAGATTGA